GAGGCCCTGCTGGCCTGATGTTGTTGCAGTTTACCACGGCCTGGCCACTTTCTCCAAGTTCAGCAACATGGAGGACTCCCTCCCCAGCCAGGCTTCCTGCTCTCTACCTGACCTTACCTGGAGGATGTCTCTAGGCCTGGGTGCCTGGCTTATCTCAAGGCACCTTGACATAGTTGCCTGCAAACACTCTCCCCCTGATGCCCACATGATAATTAGCTTAATGCTTTAGCCATTTTGATAGGGCCATGCTTCCACTAATCCAGCTATATGACAGGAGCATGCCACTTAATGCAAGCCTGTTCCCAGGCTTCCCAATCCTGCATATTTCCTATACTCTGAAATAAAGTTGAGTTGTCTCACTGAAGCCATCTCCTGGAGGGTCATCTGAACCCCATTCCCTACTTCAGCTCCCTCCATCCTTGTGGACACAAGGAAGAAGGAGACCCACACCTCTATAGTGGCTGCATTAGTTTACACTCCTGCCAGCAGAGATTAAATGGCCACCTGTCTCTACATCCAGTTCAGCATTTTTTTCTTGTTAGGGATGGGGTGGAATCCCAATGTAGTTTAATTTGCATTTCCTGGATGGCTAAGGACATTGTATACTTTAAAAACATCTATCTGCAGCAAGTGACTTACACCTTTCATCCTAGTAGGAGGTACAGGAGGCAAAGGCAGGCTGATAACTGTAAACTTCATGCCAGCCAGGGATATATAGACAGATCCAGTCTCGAAAGCAAAAACAGAAGACAAAACATCATCCAAAATTGTTTTTCAAGCAAAATGTTATTTGCCATCTGTTTTTCTGCATTAGAGAACTGTCTGTTCATTTCACTACTATATATATTGATTGGCAGCTTTGGTGTTTTGGGGTGTTTAATTTTTTAAATTCTTTGTATATTCTAAATATTAACCCCCTGTCTGAAAAAGAGTTTCTCTCATTCAGTCTGCTGATAGTTTCCTTTGCTGTGCAGAAACTTTTTATTTCGTGTGATTCCAATTGTCAGTTCTTGGAATTTTCCCATGCAGAATCTTGTTCAGAAAATTCTTGCTTTTATCTATTTTTGGAATGTATTACCTGTATTTTCCTTTAGAAGTTTCAGATTTTAAATTATTTTTGTGATGGGATCCAACTTGGTATTTCTGCAAGTGGATATCAGTTTTGCCAGTATTGAATGGCCTTTTTTTTTTTTTTTTGAGACAGAGTCTTTCTATGGAGCCCTGGCTGTCCTGAAACTCACCATGTAGACCAGACTGGTCTTGAACTTACAGAGATCTGTGTACAGAAGTTTCTGTCCTGCCCAGTCCCACTGCCGTTCAGTCCCAAAATAAGCACACAGAGGCTTATATTAATTATAAACTGTTTGGCTATGGCTTGGGCTTCTTATTGGCTAGCCCGTTCTTAATTATTAATCAATTTTTATTAATCTATGTATTTCCACATGGTCTTGGCTTACTGGAGAATGTCCAGATGTCCTGTCTTCCTAGTAGCTAAAAGGACGTCTCTCTCTAGAGACTGCTTCTCTGCCTTTTCTATTCCCAGCTTCTAGTCTGGTATCCCCACCTATACTTCCTGCCTGGCTACTGGCCAATCACCATTTATTTATCAACCAATAAGAGAAACCTATATTTACAGCATATAGAAAGGCCTCCTCCATCAGAGAACCGACTGCCTCTGCCTCCTAAGTGTTGGGATTAAAGGAGTGTGCCACCACAGCCAGCTGTGCTCTTTCTTCTAAGGATTGCTTTGACTATTTGTGGTCTTTTGTGTTTTCATATGAAGTTTTGAATTATTTTTCCAAGTTCTATGAAGAATGTCAGTGTAATTTTGAAGGCAATTTTACTGATCATTTTTGGTAATATAACCATTTTCACAGTATAAATCCTGCCAATTTGGGATCACATAAGGTTTCTTTCATTAACTAGTATCTTCTTTAATTTCTCTTCTTAGGGTCTTCAAGTTTTCATTTTAAAAGGATTTACATGTCAGCTACAAGGATTATTCCTTGGTACCTTATTTTGCAGGGGGCTATTGTAAATGGAATGGTGTGTGTGTGTGTGTGTGTGTGTGTGTGTGTGTGTGTGTGTGTGTTGCAGGGTGTGTGTTTCTGAGTAGCCTTGGCTGTCCTGGAATTCACTTTGTAGATCATGCTGGCCTCTGCCTCAAGTGCTGGGATCAAAGGTGTGCACCACCATGCCTAGTGGTTGGAATGTTTTTCAATTTGTTTTTGGTATATGCGAATGCTATACCAGTTTTGTGTGTTACTTTTGTATTTTGAAAATTTACTGAAACTATTTATTAAATCTAAAAGATTTCTGGTGGAGTCTGTAGGGTCTTTTAAGTATAGAATCAAAATGTCATTTTCAAATAAGGATAATTCAACTCCTTCTTTTCCCAATTTTATCCCTTTTATCTTTTTGCTTGGCCTAACACTTCATGAACTATATTAAATATGTGTGGAGAGAGTAGACACCCTTGTCTCCCTCCACATTTTAGGGGAAATGCCCTCTGTTTCCCCATCTTACTTTCTTAATTTCTCCAAGTCCTTTGTCATGTCTGCATGATAAACTTTGTCAAAAGTTTGCTCTTCATCTATTAGAGAATCATGTGACTTCTTTCCTTAAGACTGGATCTTTAAGACTTAAGCTTTTAAAGAGACTTCAGTGAGACAGTATACAGTAGGCTTCTTATTTTCTGAAACAAAATGAAAAGCCAAACTGTTCTGGCAATTCCTGTCTGTAGTGATATATTATTTATGATTTATTAAAGCTTGCCTGAGAATTCAGAAAGCAAAATCTGCCACAAGTCATAGAAGCCAGGCACACACCTATAATCCCAGCAGTCAGAAGCTAGGAGGTGGTGGTACACACCTTTAATCCTAGAACTCAGGATTAAAAGGTATACAGATTTCTGTGAGTCCAAGGCCACCCAGATCTACACAAGATTGAATCCGTCTAAAAGAGAATTATAGCTCATACCTTTAATCTCAGGACTCATGAGAGGTATATAAGTCAGTATCAGGATTCAGTAGAGCATTCCCTCTCCAGCTACGATGAGGAGAGACAAGGTGAAGAGCTCATGCATGGATCAGTCTTTTCAGCCTAAGCTGATCTTCAGCTTGAACCCCAATATCCATCTTTGGATCTTTTATTCTTTTGTGTTACACCTGTCTTTGAATTGGAAGTTTTAATTCACTTAATTTTAAAATAGCTATTCATTAAGATAGACTACTGTTAATCTGCTGTGCACTTGCTATGCCATTTAACACCCTGTGCTTGTGTGTATGTATGCACATAGTGTGTATGTATGTGTCTCACTGACCCTGGAGCTGACCTATGGGTTAGCCTAGCTGATCGGCAAGCTCCTGGGGCCCTCTTGTCTCTAGTTCCAGCACCAGGATTACAAACTTGCTGTTCTATTTGTATATCATTTTCTTGACTTCCTCTACATTTTTCTGTAGTTTTGAGATGTCAAGAAAGTTAGAGCCCTGGAAGGAGGGAACTGGTTCCTGAAAGTTGCCCTCTTACCTCCACACGTGTGCTATGGTACTGTACACCCTGCATCCCCAAACAAATAAATGTAATTATAAAAGAGAGTAATATTTGCTTAGTATTTTTCCAGGTCTTATTCAGAGATGGTCTGTTGAATCTTTTTCTTTTGAATGAGTCATTCTTTGTATGTTTTGTGATTTCTTGTTGCACAATGGACAGTTGAATCTAAAAATGTAGTGACTCTGGAAATCAGGTGTCCCCCCCCCCCACATTTCTTATGGGTGCTCTTTCTTTGTGAGGTCTGGGTGGCAAGATCTCTCTATCACTTATGCTGGCCTGGAACTCACAATGTTGGCCAGGCTAGCCTCAAACTCACAGTCACCCTCCTGCCTCAGCCTCCCTCTGTGTTGGGATTATAAGTCTTTAAGGAAGCAGGGTAAGCTCCATACCCAGGGCCAGTTTTGATGAGCACAATGTATGAACTTAGGCTTTCTTGCATCTTTTCTGAGGCCAGCCTTTCCCTGGATATGGGCAATCACTTTCCAATGTCCTTCATCTAAATAGTTGCTTTTGGATGATTAGTCTTTAATGTCTAGTTTCCAAAAGGAGAAAAAAGGGAAAGAAGGATGGAAGAGGGTGCCAGCCCTTTAAATCTAGGAAGTCACTTCAGCTGGGTGGGGAAGCAGCTCCCAGTGATAGGGGTACAAGGATGATTTCCTGCTTCTGTGTTTGCACATCTGTGGTTAGAAGCAGCAATCTCTGCTGAGTACAGATTTTTGATGTTCAAGACAATTTGCTTTTCCATCTGCTGTGGTCCCCACAGGCTCTATCCATGCCAGCTGCTCTGGATGAAGGTTCAGTTGCTGTGCCGGGCTGAGTGGGGCATGTGGCTGCTGCTGGGATGAAAGCTGAACCTGTCCAAGTTAAGACAAGTTGACTGTCCAGGAATTCCTCTTTGGGGTTTCCTGAGGAGTTACAAGAAGCCAGAGACCAGTAGAGCAGTCCCTTTCTAGGCAGGAAACAGGTTCCTGAGCCTCCTGGAATCCCTGCAACAATCTGTTTTTCATGGAGATTATTCTGCAAGCTTTGTGTGAGCCAGTTTACATCATCATGGTAACCACAGAACCTTGCATATGATAGCTGCAAAGCCCTGCACATCCTACTTTCTCTCTCCTTCCCTAGTGTACACCCCTCCCCCACTTATCCAAAACCAATTATTTAGGGGACAGTACTTCTATTTTCTGAGCTAACCACTTCATTTCTCTTATTCTGCTTCCTTATTCGCCTGTGGTCATTTTTGTCGACTCTTTCATAAATGGAAGGACATCTATTTGAGGTCCACTGTGGTCATGAAGTTAGGGATTATGCTGGAGTCACATCCCCCATCTTCCCCCACTTTAAAGGATCCATTGCAAGTGAAACACTGAGGGTGAAATCTATTTCTGTGGCCTGAAGAAACAGGAGAAAAAGGACAGGTGTGGAGAGGGGAGATACTGATTAGACCAAGATTGACATTGTTAAGAAATTTATTTGCAATTCTTTTTTGCGTTTTTTGTTTGTTTTTTAAATAACATCATTCCTTAGATAAAAATGCAATCTTACAGGAATATACAGTAGCGTCTCACACAGAGATGGACCCTGAAGCTCTCCTTGAAGGTTTTCCCTTCTAGATTCCCTGGCCTTGCTCGAGGGGGAGAAGGCGCAGCAGGCAGGGCCTTTGACAACAGGATTATTTGATGATTACAAACTGTACAACAATATTTACAACAGTCAGACTGTGGTGTCGTGGAGCCTGGAGGGGCAGGGTGTGGGATGGGCAGAAGTATATGAGTCACACAGAAGCCTGTTCATCTCTTCATGCCTCTCTGGGAACAGGCATGGCACATGACACAGGTTTTCTCGGGAACATAAAAATGGACTGAGCAGACACATGGAGAGGTGGGGGTGGCATCTGCTTTATGTGGACCCTTTACATGAAGGGACGTTTTCCTTAGCAACACTGGCAGATTAAAGTGGAATGGTAGTGTTATGAGAGAGGCAGACATTGCAGTGTTCACTCCTGGGGATCTGCCACCCCGTTTCTCACTGACTTCTTTCCCCACAGGTTGTTCTTAACTGCTACCGCCACAGAGTGTGTAAACCCCGTTGTTCCTCTGCCGCTCAGGCTTTGTTATGGGCAGTGAGCGGGAAACACATGTCCAAGCAGGGCAGGGCAGATGGGTGTATGGTCTGGTAGGAAGGCTGAGGGGTGGATTTCAAGTCTAGGGGCTGGGATGCAGATGTGGAAATGTGCTGTGTGGTGAACAGAAAGGTGCCCATAGCTCATGGCTCACTGTGATGCCTTCTAAAGGGCCTTCCCTCTGCAGGGATTGCTTGCTTACGAATCACCTGTCGTCAATTCCCAAGAGTTCTCTCCTCCTTTTACCCTTGGTGTAGTTCTCCATGCTGGGAAGTCTTAGCAGGCAGAGGCTGTTTCAAATAAAAGCTAAAGCACTTGTCCAGCATGCACAAGGAAGGTCCTTGGTTCAACCTCCCGGTACTTTCACACTGCTCCCCCAAAATGGAAAATGGAATCCCCCTCTGACTCCCTACAGCCTCTGCCTCCCCAAACTGTCTCTGTAGTGACCCTGCTGAGTGGTACACAAGGGAAATTTTAGGTGGCAAATTTGCAATAATTGACTCATTTCTGCTGGAGTGAGTGGCATGTCACCTGTTCTGTAGCCTTCATACATTTAGATTCTGGGAAATTGGGGTGCATAGGATTTCCCATGGGGATGAGGGGTTACATCTCCAAAGCAGTGAGCACCTGAGGCAGTTTGGCTCTGGTGATATGACATTTCACATTTCCATTGTATTTTTCCTGGCCTTGTCTTCCTTATAGCTAGCAGAGACCTGAGAGAAACACAACAGGAAAATCTCAATTCAGACTTTACTCTCTGTATTGAATTAATTTGCAATGCTTGATATATCCAGCTACATTCTCCAACTCCCTTTCAGAGACAGGTTAGCAGGTCTTCCTCACATAACCAGGAAGATCAGGTTCTTATCATATATTATATGGAACCAAACCTCTTAAGATGGTTGGAGGAAAAGGGCGAGTTTAAGAGTGGTAGTATTACTCATTGTAGATGAATAAAACTGTCACCATTTTCACCCATGGAAATTGTTCTAGTTTCTTCCACGTGTTCCTCTTCAAAGGTGTTCACTGTTTTTCCATTATAATAAGACATCATCTACAAATGTGCTGGGTCACTTCACCTCTGTTCTGGGACACAGAGTCATAGACTCAATAGGTTGAACACACCTACCATAGTCCTCCTTTTCTGTGGGGGGAAAAAAAAAACACAATGTGGCCATCACCTCAGCACTTGTGCCTTAGGGTGTGTGTGTGTGTGTGTGTGTGTGTGTGTGAACTGCCTCTCTAACAAGGTGAGATATGGCATTAAAAACAAAAACAAAAACAAACACTAAGAATCTGCAAATGGTTCCTTCCACCTCTGTGTTCCATTCACTGGGTTTGCAGAGGAGGGGAAGGGCAAGTGGAGGACAGGGAAGGAGGAGGGAAAGGAGGGGGAGGAGGAGGAAGAGGAGTGAAATGCTAAAGGCAGGAAGGGGCCTGTCACTACATCATAGGTAGGGGGCTTTTCTCCTCACAGCCTTCCAGGACGCCTTTCCACACGGCAGCTGCTGTAGAACATGGACTTTGGTGAGTGAGACCCAAGCTCCCCCAACGACTTTCCCACTGGCAAATTCTTTGGCCCGATGCCGTGGAGGGGCCTCACTTGTCCAGGTAAGGACAACATCTCTCTAGCTAGGCTGATTTAGCTGGAAAAACACCTAGGGTAGGAATTTATTTTTCACAAAGCAGATTATGGCGCCATCAGCCTTTGCCAAGGCTGGATCACACAGAAGCCGCTTTCCATATGATGACAAAGATGGGGTCAGGATATGCCCTTTCCTCACCCCACACCCTCTAGTTCTCTCTGTGCTGACACCTGCTTCAGAGCCAGGGCTTTGTTGAAGAACAGAATCAGCCAGGACACTTACAACAAGTTTTAGCTTCTCTGGGCTCTGAGTAGCTCTTCTGAAAGCCAAACAATCCTTCCTCAGGTCCTACTCAATTGTTTCTAGCTCCCGAGTGAGGGCATTTCAGTCACTCAAGGTCCCAGGATGGAGGGGCCATCCTTCCCCTCTTGGAGACATTTGAAATGTGGTATGGGAAGGCTAAAAGCCCTGATGACCAGATTTGACTCGATGCTTGACCTGGATTCTTGCTCTCTTGGCCTGCCCTCACGAGCTGTGGAATGTGTCTCCTGGCCTCTGTACAATAGACACTTTCCTTCTGCTGACTTCAAGTGTTCTCAGAAATGTGCTGATTTGGGCAAAGGAAGCGCTGCCTGCTGTTAGGGTCTCTGGAGCTCTGGATGGCTGAGAACTGTGAGAAAGAAACAGACCTTCAGTTCACAGTACCCAGAATTTTAAACCAGGGTACTAGAGGAAGGTAAAAGGCAGATTCCTAGGGCCTTGGATTCCTAGACAGGTTAAGAAAGATGGGAACCATGATTAATAGGGAAGACATTTACAAATCAACTAGGACTAGGAAAGTGTCTCTCTTTTAACCTGAAGATATGAAGAACCTTCTAGGACCAGGCAGAAAGGAACCAACTGGACTTTGTATAATATGGCCTCACATATGAAAAGATTGGAAATGAAAGAGAAAGCTAGTCATAGGACAGATGTAAGCACATGGTCTATGCTCCTTCATGTACCTTTGGTCCCCAGCTGCAGCCTAATTCCCCTGCCATTCAGGGACTCTCAGGCTTGCAGAAGACCTGATAATCATGTTCAAAACAGTCACTGGGGAAATTCCATGTTGGGTGGAGAGTAGATAGTCTGGCCTGGATGTTCACTGGCTTTCCTACACACTGTTCCCGTCTGTCCTGGTGGCAGGCAGCATGTGTCAAACTTATTCAGGTAGTCATTAAGCCAAGCATGAAAGACCCACTGGCGGCTGAACCTCCTTTCCCTCTAGCAACCAAGGGCAAGGGGCCCATCGTCCCTGATGCTGCTATTCTTGCAGGGTGCAGTGTATGAGTGAAAGGCTACTCTGGTCTTCTTGGCCATCAGGGAGAAGGCAGCCTGTGGATATGACTGGTGTAGGGGGGGTTTGGAAACCACACTGGACAGAGTCCTGACAGGAGCTGCAGGAGCTTGGCCTGTAGCTTATGCCATTGGTCAGTAGAATCTGACAATGCAGATTTCCAGAGGAAATCAAGGCAGCATGAGGAGACTGAGCATGCAGAGCATGCATGTCTGTGTGTAGGAGCAATCAAAACACCACACTTCCCCAGGGTCAGATGTATGCAAGAAACAGACAGCCAATCAGAGGGCTCCCCTCTTCATCGTCACTACAGTGATATCAACACAGTCGTAGAACTTTGTGGAAACAAGACAAAGGATGCCATCTACTCTACATTCTAGAAGCCATTACTGGTATTGCAAAGGGTGCATAAACGCCTGGTCAACAGCACATGGAAATCCTAGGAGACACCTGTTTCTAGACTTTGGTTGACCTGTGGACACTGGGTACCTATATGCATTTTCATGAAACAGCCTGCAAGAGTAGATTCATCTTCAATGAAGAATATCCTTGCTGGAATTTCTAGCAGATTCTCACATAATCTCCCCAAAAGACTGTTAGGACAGTGGGATGGGAAGATATTCCGTACCTAGGTAAATTCTGGGTGAATGGTCAAGTCTTATTTTCCCTAGTCCTTCCTTTTCAACCATTCCTGTTAAGACACAACTGAAGGACCTGGTGCTGATTGTAAGGGTTGCTGAAGGCAGACAAGACACGGAGGAGCCCGAATAAAAGCCCCACACAAACTGCTCCTTTCATCCCTATATGAGAGCCCAATGTCCCGCCCTCTTCTCTGACTCCCTGCTTTGGAAGAAGGAAAGGATGAGTAGTTTCTAGAAGGACCACTGTTCCATCCCATCACCTTTCTCTAGGCATGGCTATGGCTATCTGTGTTTGGGTAGATCACTGTGTCAAAGATGAATCTGTCTTACACTGCCCCAGTCTGATCATCTGTCACCTCATCCTCTCAGTTGGGACGTGTGCTGCGGGAGCACTTTGGAAAGCCAGCCACCTCCACAGGAGCATCCTGGACAAGTTTCCACAGAGAACAGCAGAAGGCAGAAAGTGAAGACCTGGATGAAACATGTGCTGACCTTGCAAAGCAAGATGTAGCAATGGACTGTCTTACCACCTGGTTTGGGAAAGATATTGAGGGAAATGGAAACAAAACACAGGATATGCAAAATGGTACCTCCCAGACCTGCCAGTGGAGAGCAGAGTGAGGAGTGACACCAGGGTTACCTTTGTTCACTTTGCAAATGAAAGAAAACCATCTCCTCCCCAACCACATGTAGAAAAAGCACTTCAGAGTTCAAAGGTAAAGCTTGTCACACTCCAAATACAAAATGATTTACTTTACATGCAGCAAAATATACAAGAAGTGAATTTTAAAACAAACTTAAGTCATTGTATTTGCTTGGCACAATTGCAATTCAGTTTTTAAAAAAATATTTGAAAAATACTGAAACTGACCTGAATTCAAGTATAACAGTTTCTTCAACAGAAACATTATCAATGCAATAAAACATTACACAGAATATATCGAAGCAAAATGTCTTCTTGAGTTTTTCCCTTAAATTTTGTGTTTTTTTAAAATAGAATTTTAATGCTGACACAACTCACAATCGTATTTTAAAATGGATATTATTGCATTGCTTTTGCATATCTCGTGGGACAGGAAATGCAGTTACCGAGTCTCGTTTCAGAAGCAGAAGCGGAGACAGTGATTTGTTTTTGCTTTCTAACAGCCCCGGATTCAGAGCTCCCTGCAGTCAAACCGGAACGGGGATCTACGGACTTTTGTGCAGGGGTGGGGGTGGGGGGTGGATGGGGTGCGCACGCACCATGTGGGTGCACACACGCACAGACGACCCACTATGGACACACGTGTGACACACAGATGCTCATACATCCTCTCTCTTGAATCTATCCATACGCCCAGCTTAGAACGGAGCCCAGCTCAACCGCCCAGGCGCGCAACACCTAATCTGCCTGTTACCTGCAGATTGTGACGCTCAACCCAACCAGAAAGAAAGGGGGGGGGGGGGGGGGGGGGGTTTTTTAAGGAAATTT